TATGTTCACAATATTTTACTTTAAATTTTGGTCCAGTTCTGGTTTCTACTGGATGAATGAACAATAGTGGTATGGGAAACCGGAGCACGCGGAGGAAACATAGGTAGACACTGAGAGAACAATGTAAACTCCACTCTGAAAGACTCTGTTCCGACCGGGATTTGAACTCAGGACCTTCTTGCTGAGAAGCATAAGTGCTATCCACTCAGCCCCCATGTGGCCATTTGTGGTACTTTCGCAAGTGAATGTGTGAGAGTTCTGACCAATCATAGCTGACTATAGAGAGCAGTACTGCCGACCGCCAACCTCAGATTAGAGTGGAGGAGAATGAGCCAAGTCTGATGCAGCAAAGTGTGGATCTTTAGAAACCTTGTGGATTTCTATAGATCCATAAATTAGGTCTATGAGAACTTTTTCCCCAAGAGGTCCACCACCATCATGCCAGGGCCCGGCTTAAGCTAGCAATACTTTATCCAGATAATATAATACAACGATATACAATAAAGGCCCCTTCAAAGTTGGAAAAGTTGTGACCAATTTGTGGGTAGGCAGAAAAAAAATGTGCACAAGAACTGTCGAGAAAAAAAAGATAAGATGACAGGACCTTTATTCTTCCCACAGTGGGGGAAATTTCAAAGTTGCAGCGCACATACAGGACATTAGTCAGGGTATACAGAAAATACAATATAAGTAGCTGCTCTGTTTCTTAGTTAGCTGTAAATGCATCAATATATCTTTTTATATATAATTTTTTTTTCTTCACTCACCTTTGGCCCTTAGCGGGCGGTTATCCCTCTCTAAGCTCGGGGCCTCTACCAGAGGCCTGGGAGCTTGAGGGTTCTGAGCAGTATCTTTGCTGTTCCTAGCACTGCACATTTCTGGACCGAGATGTCCGAGGTTGTTCCAGGGATCCGCTGTAACCACTCTTCTAGCTTCGGGGTCACTGCCCCGAGTGCACCGATCACCACGGGCACTACTGTCACCTTTACCCTCCAGGCCCTCTCCAGCTCCTCTCTGAGACCTTGGTATTTCTCAAGCTTTTCATGTTCTTTTTTCCGGATGTTACTATCGCTTGGAATTGCCACGTCCACCACCACGGCTGTCCTCTGCCCTTTGTCTACCACCACGATGTCAGGTTGGTTCTCCATTACCATTCGGTCGGTCTGTATCTGGAAGTCCCACAGGATCTTTGCACGCTCATTCTCCACCACCTTTGGAGGAGTTTCCCACTTAGACCTTGGGGTTTCTGTGGGGTGATTCCAGCCCATACTCTGCACAGATGTTTCTGTACACTATGCCAGCCACTTGGTTATGGCGTTCCATGTAGGCCTTCACTGCCAGCATCTTGCACCCTGCAGTTACTGTATGTGTTGGATCGTCTCAGGTGCCTCTTTGCACAACCGACACCTGAATATATATATATATATAAAAAGGATATATTTTCTGCATGTGGCTTCTCTCTCTGGTGACCTCGCTCCCATCTCTGTGCGGAGTGTGAGAAAAATGCCCACAATTGTAAAGCCTTTTGTGACTCTAGTCTGTGAAAGGCAGTTTATAAATAAAGATTGTAATAAAGGTTATAAAGACACATAATAAAGTTTATACAAAAGCATGTGTTTGCACAATAGCCTCCTATGTGTGGAGGAAGACAGCTTGTAATTTAATGTTAGTTTTGAAAAACACATGCTCTGACACACAATGAGCATTTAAGAACGTTGACTGGTTCAACTATTCAGATGAAGAAGAACACCACACATGGTAAACTATGCAGTTCACATTCAGATTCAGAACAGAACAAGATTCATTTAATTTTACATTTGCAGTAAATCCGCATTGGAATACATGTGCAAAAGTCCCCAGTGTGCACCAGACAGGTACATAAATAACAGAAGCAAAAAAGTACAGTACAAAAAAGTACAAAAAAGCTTTTACAATTCAATTTATTTTTGTTCATCCCTAAATCCTATCAACAGAACTTACAAAGTTGCCGATTCCTCACAAACAGATCAGAGAATCAAATTGTTCGAACACAGGACATGTAATAATAACACAAAGGAAGCATTGGTCCAACAGGAGTTGGCTAACCTTTTTTTATACATCTACCTTTCTTTAAAAAGAAGGCTCAAGGAGAGTTGATGGGTGGCCTTTTCAACACAACTGCATGGACTGCAAAAATGATTAAATATGAGGAAAGAGATTTTTATCTTAATCTGAGTACGCTTTGACTGTCTTAAAATAAGATTTTCCAATGGGGCAGAGCCAATTAGTCTTATTTCAAGGGAAACATTTCTTGTATCTTTTTAAACCAAGATTATTTTGCTTGTCCGTTGGCAAATACAGATACAGTACTTTTTGGAGTCTACAGAAGTACTGTACAACCACCAGAAGCCTACTTTTCATAAAGTTTGTAAACATGATTTGTATTATATTTCCCAGACTTAAAGGTGATACTTCTTGAACCCTGCAGCCAGTAGCCTAGCGACGCGGCTAATGTTTGCATTTTATTACGTTCGAGCTGGGTGTATGTTGCCTGAGAGATGACACGAGATGACACAGAGCTGACACACATACATTAGGAGGACTTACTTACTATACTATATAAATATCACCGACTTTATATAGAAGCCCAATAGGGAAGTGCTCATGAACTGAGTTTTGCTCCATTTTTACGACCCGAAGGACAAAACATAATTGAGGACACAGAGACCGGTTGAGACTTCAAAATTGATTTTATTTATAACTTGCTCTTTTGAATTAACTCTTGATTTTGTTAATATAAATCCAGAAAGAACCAAACCCCATGTCCAGAACAAAAAACCCAAAGTAATCAAAGTAAAGGTGGACCTGGTGGGCCAGCCAAAACAAACAAAATGGGCCGACACCGAACCAACCTTTTACAGGGCCGTCTGGATACGATGTTGACACAACCACCGGAACCACCAGATCAAATAATAATAAGGACAGTAAAAAATGCTAACGAACGGCTAAACAAAACCAAACCATGCTGCGTCTGAGGAGGCCGCAAACAGGACCAGAGGCTGAGAGCCGAGAGGGGCACGAGTGCACCAGGACAGTGCTTCTTATACTCCCGGCCCGAGCTACAAAATATACAAAACAGGTTAAAAAAAAGTTGATCAAAACATTAACAAAAAAGTAACCTATAAAATATACATGTGAAAATAATCTTACAAAAAAAAAACCCCAAAAACCTGGACTAAAAAGATAAGACTCAAACCCAAGGGGAAAAAAATGTCCTAATACTCCAACTTTACTTATTTTGCCAAATTCTTATTAATTTTTCATCCTTTTTTCCGTGCACACTCACAATTTTGGCCTTAAAAAATCTGCACTTTCTAAAAGGTGAGTGTGAAACAAAGAGTTACTGAGAAGATGGAGATACAATCTACAGAATCCATTGTAGCACGTGTAGGATAAATTAAAATGACCTCTTTCCTCAATCAAAGACATTTTGTTGTATATTGAGACATCTTATAACTTCTGTCTCCACTGTGTGTAAATCCTTGTGGTTCAGGTTTTATTGTGGGCAAGAATGTCTTAAGATAAGTGCCATGGCAACACCCCTCCCCCAACAACTAAAACAAGGGAAGACAAACCAGTCTGCTTTGGAACCACGGAGTGACCAGACCTCCCTGGGCTCTGCCCTGGGCTCTGCTCAGGAAACCAAAGGGCTTTGGGCCTCTTAGATGGCCTCAAACCTCAGCTCCACGTCTGAGAGGACTTCCACAACCCTTCAATAGCCTCCAGCTTCAACCTGAAGAAGTTGCTGAGTTTTGGCACCTAGACTGTGGATCGTGGGAGGACTTGGTTCAACCACATGATGCAGCCGCATGGTCCAGGCCCCGTGGACAAGAAGCCTCCATCCAACGCCATCAAGACCCAAGGACTGCTATTCACCAAAGGCTATTCTGGTTGTATGATCTGCGCTCTTGCTACACACAACTGTTGGCTTTATTAAAACCTATACTTCAAAGAATACTTCTCCTACCAAGGCTGAACACATGCAGGCCTTAGCCTATACCAATCCATTCATAGACAAAGGTCTTGCTTAGCTCACTTTAGCCTAGCATTTTAACAATGTATCTTGAAATCAACGTTTCCTTCATGTTATTCTTGACAATTTGCATATTTCATATCTAGTCTGTATTGTGTATACTTCATTAAATCTACAAAACCATCTTTGTCTGAAAGTGATATTTGTACTTTTAACTCCAGAAATTGGGTCACTGATTTGTAAAAGAATTCCCTACCTTCAGATTCTATTGAAGAGAATTGGACTAATTAGCTAATTAAATAATGAAAGGACTCATGAGATTACTTAATCAATAAATGAACCAATTAATTGATATTGTGACGTCATATGCACGTTATCAGTTGGGAGTTATTCACTGGTGCCCCTAAATAAAGCTATTATCAATTATTGTATTTATTACATGGTTGTTTTTATCCAATTCTCCGATATCAGGTACATAACTTAAAATATGTGTGATATCGACATTTTCTCACCCTACACACGAGAGGAGGAGGAGAAAAGGAGGAGCCTTCAGCTGATACTTCTCCTTCACTAACAGAGGCCTGAAGATCACACTCTCCCCCTTCTGGTGCCATGGTGCTTTCAGTCTATGCTTCAGAGAGCCAGAGTTTCAATCCCAGACAGTGAAGAGTGGAGGTACTACAAATACTATGTACAAATCCTCCAGACAATCCTGACCAAGCCAGGCATCAACATCTGAAGATTCATGGTCCCCGGGCGCTGCATTGCTCCTGACAGACGCCCTATAGCGGCATCAGTATGGGTCAAATGCAGAGGAACGAATCGTCCTACAGGCATTAATAAAGTGCACCTGTCCCTTCACCACAGCTTGACAAACACTGTGGTGAGTGTTGACATACCTCCGCCTCTCACTTCCAGAGCAGAGATGGGGCCCGCAGGCTCTGTCATCACCAGCTGAAGCACCGATCAAACCTCACAACATCTCATCATGGCGTTGAAGAGGAGCAGCGTGGAGATAAGTCCCCTGAAGGCCCTCTGTCAGACGCACGGCCGCGATTGCATCATCTTGACGAGAGCGCGGGTCTTCATCACCGCCGAGTGGGAGCCGTCGGAGCGGCCGTCCCGAACACTCGTCAGCGGCTGAAGGAGGTTTGCAGTGGATTATGCACGGGCGTCCAGTTTGTGTAAAGCTGCTGCTGGTGCCATGTGGTGTTAGTGCCAATTTGTCAATCTCGAGAGTGTGTGTGTGTGTGTGTGTGTGTGTGTGTGTGTGTGCGTGTGTGTGAGAGTGTGCGCGTGAGTGTGTGTGCATATGTGTAAAAGAGTGAGTGTGTGTGTCTGCATATGTGTAAGAGAGTGAGAGTGTGTGTCTGCATATGTGTGAGAGTGAGAGTCTGCATATGTGTGAGAGTGTGCGCGTGTGTGTGTCTGCATATGTGTAAGAGAGTGAGAGTGTGTGTGTCTGCATATGTGTAAGAGAGTGAGAGTGTGTGTGTCTGCATATGTGTAAGAGAGTGAGAGTGTGTGTGTCTGCATATGTGTGAGAGTGTGCGCGTGAGTGTGTGTGCATATGTGTGAGAGTGTGCGCGTGAGTGTGTGTGCATATGTGTGAGAGTGTGCGCGTGAGTGTGTGTGCATATGTGTGAGAGTGTGTGCATATGTGTGAGAGTGTGCATATGTGTAAAAGAGTGAGAGTGTGTGTGTGTGCATATGTGTGAGAGTGTGCGCATGAGTGTGTGTGCATATGTGTAAAAGAGTGAGAGTGTGTGTGTGTGCATATGTGTGAGAGTGTGCGCATGAGTGTGTGTGCATATGTGTAAGAATGAGAGTGTGTGTGCGCTGACCCTCCCATGCTTCTTGTCGTTCAGTAATATTCAGCCTTAAAGCTCGGGTCCCTAAAAATTGTGAAGCCCCTTACATCATTCAAACCATGGACCATGTTGCCTCTGTCTATCTCCTTTCCACTCTCTTTCCTTTCTCTTTCCCTTCTCTTCTCACTCTCTTTCTCCTCTCTTTACCCTCTATTCCCCTTCTCTTTTCCTTTCTCTTTCCCCTTCTCTTTCCATTCTGTTTCCCTTCTTGTTCCCCTCTCTGTCCCCTTCTCTTTCACCTCTCCTCCCCCTCTCTTCTCCCTCTCTTTCCCCTCTTTTTCCCTTCTCTTTCTCCTCTCTTTCAAGTCTCCTCCCCCTCTCTTCTCCCTCTTTCCCCTCTCTTTCACCTCTCTTTCACTTCTTTCCCCTCTTTTTCCCCTCTCTTTCTCCTCTTTCCCCTCTCTTTCAAATCTCCTCTTTCCCCTCTCTTTCCCCTCTCTTTCCCCTCTCTTTCACCTCTCTTTCACCTCTCTTCTCCCTCTCTTTCCCCTCTCTTTCACCTCTCTTTCCCCTCTCTTCTCCCTCTCTTTCCCCTCTCTTCTCCCTCTCTTTCCCCTCTCCTCCCCTTCTCTTCTCCCTCTCTTCCCCTCTATTATACTTTCTCTTCCAACCTCTCTTTCACCTCTTCTCCCTCTCTTTCCAATTCCCTCCTCTCTTTCTCCTCCCTATGAAGGTATGATTAGCTTAGGGATGGATGTGGCGGTAAAAGGAGGAGAACTTTGATCTACTCACGGCGTGATAATCCGGGCTGCGCTCCCGTTTGAGCAGACGACAAATTGTCAAGTGCAGATCAGGACGTGGGGAGGCACCAAAGCAGCAGAACGCATTTCACAGAAGCTCTTTCTGTTATCACCTCTTTTATTCTATCTCCACGAGACAAGGCCACAAATCCACAACTGACAGAATAGTAGTTTTAATACAGGCTCGAATTGATTTGATTCAATATTTGAGATTTCATGAAATGTATAAAAAAGTTGAATTCCGTTATGAATGTTTATGGACATCGGTCGTTCCGTTCTCTACAGACAAATGGCTCTATGTATTTGTTATTATTATATTTCCTGTGATACAACTTTTTGGACTTTTGGGTAAAAAAATCTGCAAAAGTCTTTCTGAAAATGTGAGACAGGCTTCTTCTCTGTTCAAATCCAGTTCTTATGCTATTGAGCAATTTTATCTTCACTCTCTTTGACGTATAGTGTGATTAATTATGATTTTATTTTAATGCCTTGTGTGATTCTTTCTATTGTTGTAATGTGAGAATCTCTATTAATGAAGTAGATTTTTTTTTAGCTAATTTCCATCTGTGATCCCACTGTCTCACTCAAAAACACACATTCAACCCTCACCCTGGTATGTTTTTAGTGGTAACCGGAGTACCTGGAGGAAACCGGAGCACCCAGTGGAAACCAGAACACCAGGAGGAAACCCACGCAGACACAAGAAAACTTTCCCTGTCCGGAGGGATCTAGCCCAGGAACTGTTGTGAAGCTTCAAGCGCTAACCACTGGCCCACCGTGCCGTTATGACATGATCACTTTTGTATTTTCTCGAACTTAAAAATCGCAGCCACTGAACTCAGCAATTCCCCGAAAGCAGCACTCGATACAAGGTTGATCAGCCCCCAGCCTTGTATGAAGCCATCGCGCGGGACTCTTAAAAAGATTTAGGATGTATGATTGTGTTGCTAACAGTGTTTTCTCCGCCGCTCGCCCAGACTCAAGGCCCGGCCTGTGATTGATGTTTTCAATCAGGCCGCGCTGGAATTCTCTGCAGGCCCCACTCGCAATGACTCTGTCGGCTCAAAGAAGATGTCATGTCATTGGGCGTCTTGAGGCTGGCAACACTATTCTGTTTTTCTTCTTGTCCCTGGGACCTGGAGATGTTTGACAAGGACACCAGGGAGGTCTCCCACGAGAGGCGACAGGAAATGAAATATGGATCGACCAAAACTATTCACTGGCGGAACTTTTTGGCAGATATCAAATGCATGGGGGGAGAAAAGTCTACATCAGGGAGAGACTTGTCCTATGGGGCGACGGAGATGGAGTTTAAAAGGATGTTGTTAAACCGAGAGTTCATCGATAGGTGTTTTAAAGGGAGGCGGAGTCGGCCGAGTGTGAAGTGATCGCGGTATTGATCTGTTGCCTTTTACACACTCATTGTGCTCCACAGTTCACAGTCAAGTGCAAACAGAGTGGCTGGTGGTTAAGACTGATGGCTGATCTAAACTTTAAGGTAGTTTTGACAATTTAGACGCTAAAGGGTTCAACAAATAATTAAAAACAAGTTAAAAAAATGCTCAATTTTTGCTAAATGTATTTTATTTTAGCACATTTCAACTGCCCTTAAACAAAATTTGACAATAGGAAAACCAAAATTATCTGATTTTATTAAATCATATTAAAATGATTTAAGAAATTTCTCCCTTGAAATGTGAAAATACAGCAACAATTCTTGAAAAAAGGCTAAATGGTGATGTCCCATTGGCAAATCTTGTTTTTAGACAATCAAAATGTAAAAAAATTAATATAAAATACACTTGATTACCGTTATTTCCAATTAATTTGCACCACTACAATACTGTCTCTGCATTACTTTTAAGTTACTTTCACCAAATATATAAACACATTATAAATTCAGATTATGTTGCTACTGATTTTGGTTTTGTACATTAAGTCCACTAAACTGTTATTTTCCACATCTTTGTCTCCAACCAACTCTAAATAATGGGTCCGTCCATCTGTAAAATGTATTATTGTCCGCGGTAGAGCCTGCTTCTGCTTCAGCCTCCGCCATCTTCTACCACAACTGAAAGACACTTCTAGGCGGCTACTTTTGGTGCAGACTTGTTCTCCTCTGCTGATCTGGCGGTGGCATGGTATAAAAACAAAACTCAATTTAATATTGTGGGTTAAAACGCAATATTACCCAGTTTGGTTTTTTTTTCGTTTTTTTCATCCCTTAACAACACTGCGTTACAGCTATAAGCAATACATTACAATTACTCCCAACACTGTATATTTGGAAGAGAACATGATTTTGCAATTGATTCCATCTTTATGCCCCCCCCACCAATAGATCAATCCATGCAGTTATTGTGTTTCTCATTCCATAGGTCATAAAAATACAGGACTTGGACCCATAACGAAACGCAATCCTCACTCACGGACTGACTTTGTGATGGAAGACATACATCATTCCTCACTACATTAATATACATAGAAATTGCATCAGACTTATGAATGTTTGTCAAACTCAAAAGAACTCATTTTTTTTTCTTCCCCAGATCTGCCCCGGGTTTCACAGCAGCCTCATGCAATAAGGCTCGAGTATTGTTATGCTGCAATATACGCCAATGAATAGGAAGGGACAAATCTTTCCATCTTTAGCTGAGAATGAGACCAACCGCACATCCGTACAGAGCAAGTTTTTATTTCCTCCGAGTGCAGGCTTAGTGGATTAGAGCTGTCTGTGTTATGTAAGTGGGGTGGTTTGGATGCAAGGCGACGGTACTGGCAGGACAGGGCTTCGGGCTTGCTCATCTTCTGGCCGACCTCGTGTGCATATCGCGCGCTACTAAAGTCCATCAGAATTTGCTTGGCGCCGAGAAGAGGGATAATCCATGGACTGGACATGGGCAAGGCAGGGAACGTTTGGTCGGTCAGTCCAAAAAATAACCAAAAATTAGGGAATAAATGCATGAAGGTGCTTTTATCTTAATTTGAGCACATTCTGACTGCCTATCTTTTTGTCAATGGAAGAAGTACAAAGGTCTAGTTTTATTCAGATTCAAGAAAAAAATCATGTACATTCAAAACATATCTTTCTTGGAAGGAGAAATAGATCGGGCGGCACGGTGGCTGAGTGGAGACACTCTTGCCTCTCAGCAAGGAGGTCCTGGGTTCGAATCCCGGTCGGACCAGGGCCTTTCTGAGTGGAGTTTGCATGTTCTCCCCGTGTCTGCGTAGGTTTCCTCTGGGTACTCCGGTTTCCCCTACCACTAAAAATATGTACAATAGGACTGTGCATGCGCCTCCTGTACTGGCGACCCCGCTCCCATCTCTGTGGAGTGAGAGGACAAATGCCCAAAAAAATAATAACAATTGTAAACTGCTTTGTGACCCTTGTCTGTGAAAGGCGGTATATAAATTTACATTACTTACTTACTTACTTATTGCAACAGCACTTGAAATAACACTAAATGACCAAAACATGATTAAAACCAGATGCTCCATTGGGACATCTTGTTTTAAGATTCAAGCATTGATTATCTTATATTTTGTCATTTTTTTTGCAGTGTAAATGCGGCCTATGGTGCATGTACCCACTTTCTCAGCCTAATGCTTCCTCTCTTTGCCGTTTCAGCTAGCAAGAGTGACTTCAATGATCATGTGTGGTTTGAGATAGGAGAAAAATCAATAATGGAGTGGCAGATGGCACACAAAGTTAGAAGATGCTGAATACAAGAGTGAAAGGCTGAGGCGGAGGTGGCCTTGGGCACAGTGCAGGCTTTGTCAATGGGAGCCAGTCCACATAAGAACTAAGATTGACGTGCACAATCCCACTCGTTACATCAATTTCAATTCAATGTATTTTTTCTTAGCCTTTAATCACAACATCAGCCGTCTCGGAAGACTATACAACATTGTCGATTTCTCAACGGCAGAAAGAGCCGTAGGAGCCATTGGTGCATGGGGAGTGTCCAATTTCCAGAAATGTCCTTGATCATCACTATCCATAGAGCACTCAAAAACCCAGTGGGGAAAAATGAGAGAAACCTCCAGAAGGCCCAGGTCGAGAGAAGGATCCGCTCCGATATCCAATAGGCTGGGACTTTTATGGACTTTTATGGACATTCCCGCTCCCTATGGACCAATGGCTTCTTAAACTGCTTTACAAAGTTGTTGATTCACCAGCAACCGAAACAAAGTCCTCTGAGACGACTGCCACCGCTACACACAAATAAATTGAATTTAATAATTACACAATAAAAACTACAGATCACACTATAGTGCCAGCCATTTTATCTTTTCTTTTTTTCATATTGTGGCTTTTTTTGGTATTTACAATCGTATAAAAATGTCTGAGAGAGTTTGCAGAGATATGATTTACCGGGGGCACTTTTCTCGCGATCGAAATTCAACAGTGGCAAAGCGGTGCACCCTCAACTAAACTGACAAAAATAGTTTCACGAGAACTCTCTCTGCGGGCTCTTTGGAAGTTCACCGCCTGTAATTATACTATTCCTCTTTCTTTCTGTATTTTTTTCTGCAGAGGAACGACCTGAATCGCTCCCAGAATTGTTGATCTTGTGAGTTGTCACCAGCAAAGTTAATTTCCCTGGGGACTGCCACATAAATTGCATGGCACTGAACAGGGGTAATAGCTGAGGTCTTGGAGATATGTTTGAGGCTAACAAAGCGACATGCACAGGTCCTGGACTCGCTCAAGCCACCGGTGCTCCACGCTCATTAGTCCACAATTGGGAACAAGTGTTTTGGCTACATCTTGTTTATTGCCTTGAGGTCTCTGGGCAATTTGTTGTTATTATGTTCATATTTTTAAAAAGAACCGAGCTATATACGCTGATAATGGCACTTGATAAAGCTACCAGGGGTTTTCGCAACTGCTGCCGTCGGACGGGGAGGCTGTAAGATTTGTGCAAAGCCAGCGCTAATTGTTGTCAAGTTAAAACGAGCGAGTTTTAAAGCAAACTCCACGGCCGAATTCTCAAGAGCACGCAAACAAATTTACAACGAATGAATAATTTATTGAGCTGCGAAACTGGGTAGAAAGCGGTTTGCGGAATGGTAGAAAAAATATTACAAAATGTATTTAGTGAGAAAGAAAGTGAGTTAGAAGTCTGAGTACAATTCATTTACACTGTTGTTGCATAAAAACGTTCTGTGCTCAGAACACAATCATTCTGTGTTCCGTTTTGCATAATTCTGCATAAGTAGCTTTTAACGGCAACACTGTCCTTTACAAATGCCTTTTTTAAATGCATTTGAATGTGACTCATAAGCTTTGTATTGTCCAGGAGGTCATTAAATTCTTGACCTTTGGACCCACTGACTCAGACAATTACCGGGAGCACCAAATAACAAAATCAGGGTTTTTTTTTATTATTCTAATGGATTTTTTTTTCTGCCTCTGCTGTAAAAATGTACTGTATGAGAGATTTTATTTGCACTAGAAAATACGGTATTTTTATATGCGTTTCATTATAATGCTACAATTTGGGATTTTATTTTATTTCTGAAACATAGTTATTGTTCATTCATCTTGCTGTGTGCCACCCTCATTGCTACTGTTTTGTAACCGGCGATGCAAGACTGGAATTTCCCCACTGTGTTACGGATAAAGGATCTCTTAATCTTAAGCTATAGACCGTATATAGTGTGACATCACCACAGTGTTAGCCTTAATGCAGAAGAAGCCGATTTCAACATTAGCTAGCAGGAGCCAATTTCCTTATATGGGAATTTGTTCTGACGGGGTTACTTCGGGCAATAACAAGGCCAGAAGTGTTGCTTACATGGTTGCTAAAGTATGATGGCTTTTTTCCCAATATGAAGACAGCTGATTGGTCAATCCGTACAAGCGTCATATCTGAATTTACAAAGACTATCCGAATATTTAGCACAACCCTGATTTTCAACTACACAATTCCCCAATTCACTTCCCACTTTAGCAAAAGGGAATATCTCAATTTCACCACCTGTTTGAAAACAATACATCTATGTCGTTCACCAGGTGCGGGGTTAAGAGAGAACAATTTCATCAACACCAACAATACAAGAATTTAATCTAAAGTATATCAAACCTAAAA